CTCTCAGCAATGGACAGATCATGGAAACAGAAACTAAACGGAGACACTTTGATATTAACAGAAGTTATGAACCAAATGGACTTAACAGACATCTATAGAACATTTCATCCTAAAACAAAAGAATATACCTTTTTCTCAGCACCTCATGGTACCTTCTCCAAAATAGACCATATAATTGGTCACAAAACAAGCCTCTACAGATACAAAAAGATTGAAATAATCCCTTGCCTCTTATCAGATCACCATGGAATAAGACTGGTCTTTAATAATGACAAAACCAATGGAAAACCCATGTGCACATGGAAACTGAACAACTCTCTACTCAATGATGACTTGGTCAAGGAAGAAATAAAGAAAGAAATTAAAGACTTTTTAGATTTCAATGAAAATGAGGACACATCATACCAAAACTTGTGGGACTCCATGAAGGCAGTGCTAAGAGGAAAACTCATAGCTCTAAGTGCCTACAAAAAGAAACTGGAAAGAGCACACACTAACAAGTTGACTGCACAATTAAAAGTTCTAGAACAAAAAGAAGCAAATACACCCAGGAGGAGTAGAAGGCAGGAAATAATCAAACTCAGGGCTGAAATCAACCAAATAGAAACTGAAAGAACAATACAAAATATCAATAAAACCAGGAGTTGGTTCTTTGAGAAAATCAACAAGATAGATAAACCGTTAGCCAGATTAACCAGAGGGCACAGAGAGAGTATCCAAATTAATAAAATCAGAACTGAAAAGGGAGACATAACAACAGAAACGGAAGAAATTAAAAAAATCATCAGATCCTACTACAAAGGCCTATACTCAACAAAACTGGAAAACCTGGATGAAATGGACAATTTCCTAGACAGATACCAGGTACCAAAATTAAACCAGGAGCAGATAAACCATCTAAATAGTCCCATAACCCCTCAGGAAATAGCAGCAGTCATTAAAAGTCTCCCCACTAAAAAAAGCCCAGGACCAGATGGTTTTAGTGCTGAATTCTATCAGACCTTCAAGGAAGACCTAATACCAATTCTCTTCAAACTATTCCACAAAATAGAGACAGAAGGAACACTACCCAATTCGTTCTATGAAGCTACAATTACACTCATTCCCAAACCCCACAAGGACCCAACAAAGAAAGAGAACTTCAGACCAATCTCCCTTATGAACATCGATGCAAAAATACTCAATAAAATTCTAGCAAACCGAATCCAAGACCACATCAAAACAATCATCCATCATGATCAAGTAGGTTTTATCCCAGGAATGCAGGGATGGTTCAATATTCGGAAATCCATCAATGTAATCCACTATATAAACAAACTTAAAGAAAAAAACCATATGATTATCTCACTAGATGCTGAGAAAGCATTTGACAAAATTCAACATCCCTTCATGATAAAAGTCTTGGAAAGATCAGGAATTCAAGGCCCCTACCTAAACATAGTAAAAGCAATTTACAGCAAACCAGTAGCCAACATCAAGCTAAATGGAGAGAAACTTGAAGCAATCCCACTAAGATCAGGGACTAGACAAGGTTGCCCACTCTCCCCCTACCTATTCAATATAGTACTGGAAGTCTTAGCCAGAGCAATTAGACAGCAAAAAGAAGTCAAAGGGATACAAATAGGAAAGGAAGAAGTCAAAATATCGCTATTTGCAGATGATATGATAGTATACTTAAGTGACCCCCAAACTTCCACCAGAGAACTCCTAAACCTGATAAACAACTTCAGCAAAGTGGCTGGTTATAAAATCAACTCAAACAAATCAGTAGCCTTCCTCTACATGAAAGATAAACAGACTGAAAAAGAAATTAGGGAAATGACACCCTTCACAATAGTTGCAAATAATATAAAATACCTTGGTGTGAATCTAACCAAGCAAGTGAAAGACCTGTATGACAAGAACTTCAAGTCTCTGAAGAAAGAAATTGAAGAAGATCTCAGAAGATGGAAAGATCTCCCATGCTCATGGATTGGCAGGATTAATATAATAAAAATGGCCATCTTGCCAAAAGCAATCTACAGATTCAATGCAATCCCCATTAAAATCCCAACTCAATTCTTCACAGAGTTAGAAAAGGAAATTCTCAAATTCATATGGAATAACAAAAAACCTAGGATAGCGAAAACTATTCTCAACAATAAAAGAACTTCGGGAGGAATCACCATCCCTGACCTCAAGCTGTACTACAGAGCAATAGTGATAAAAACTACCTGGTATTGGTACAGAGACAGGCAGGAAGATCAATGGAATAGAATTGAAGACCCAGAAATGAACCCACACTCCTATGGTCACTTGATCTTTGACAAAGGAGCTAAAACTGTCCAGTGGAAAAAGGACAGCATTTTCAACAAATGGTGCTGGTTCAACTGGAGGACAACATGTAGAAGAATGAAAATTGATCCATTCTTATCCCCTTGTACAAAGCTCAAATCTAAGTGGATAAAGGACCTCCACATAAAACCAGATACACTGAAACTAATAGAAGAGAAGGTGGGGAAAAGCCTCGAATACTTGGGCACAGGGGAAAAGTTCCTGAACAGAACTCCAATGGCATATGCTCTAAGATCGAGAATTGACAAATGGGACTTCATAAAATTGCAAAGTTTCTGTAAGGCAAAGGACACTGTCAATAGGACAAAACGACAACCAACAAATTGGGAAAAGATCTTTACCAATCCTTCATCTGATAGAGGGCTAATATCCAATATATACAAAGAACTCAAGAAATTAGACTCCAGGCAACCAAATTACCCTATTAAAAAATGGGGTATAGAGCTTAACAAAGAATTTTCAACAGAAGAAACTCGAATGGCCGAGAAGCACCTAAAGAAATGCTCGGCATCCTTAGTTGTCAGGGAAATGCAAATCAAAACAACCCTGAGATTCCATCTCACACCAGTCAGAATGGCTAAGATTAAAAACTCAGGTGATAGTAGATGCTGGCGAGGGTGTGGAGAAAGAGGAACACTCCTCCATTGTTGGTGGGACTGCAAGATGGTGCAACCACTTTGGAAATCAGTGTGGCGGTTCCTCAGAAAATTGGACATAGCATTACCCGAGGATCCAGCTATACCACTCCTAGGCATATACCCAGAAGATGCTCGAACATATAACAAGGACATATGCTCAACTATGTTCATAGCAGCCTTATTTATAATAGCCAGGAGCTGGAAAGAACCCAGATGTCCTTCAACTGAGGAATGGATTTAAAAAATGTGGTATATTTACACAATGGAGTATTACTCAGCTATTAAAAACATTGAATTCGAGAGTTTCCTAGTTAAATGGATGGAACTAGAAATTATCATACTGAGTGAGGTAAGCCAATCACAAAAGAACACACATGGTATTCACTCACTGATTATTGGATATTAGCCCAGAACCTTAAAATGCCCAAGATGCAACTCACAGGCCACATGAAGTCCATAAAGAAGGAAGACCAAGTGGGGGTGATTCGGTCCTTCTTAGAAGGAGCAACAAAATACTCAAGGGAGCAAATATGGAGACAAAGCGAGGGACAAAAACTGAAGGAGGGGCCATCTGAAGACCTTTCCACCTGAGTATCCATCCCATGTGCAGTCACCAAAGGTAGATGCTGATGTGGAAGTCAGGAAGTGCATGCTGATAAGAGCCTGATATGGATGTTTCCTCAGAGGTCTTCAAGAGTCTGACATATTCAGAGGCAGATGCTCACAACTAGCCATTGAAGTGATTATGGGGTTCTCAATGGAGGAGTTAGAGTGAAGACTGAAGGAGCTGAAAGGATTTGTGGCCCCATGAGGAGAGCAACAATACCAACCAACCACAGCTCCCAGGGTCTAAACCACCAGCCTGGGAGCACTTATGGAGGGATCCAGGGCCTTAGCTGAATATATAAGAGTGGAGGGCCCTGCTGGGCACAGGTGGAAGATGAGATCCTTGACCTCATGAAGGCTGGACGCCCCAGGGGGTGGGAGTTTTGAGGGTGGGGAGGTGGGAGTGGGGGGGTAGATAGAGGTTACATCCACAAAGAAGAAGGAGGAGGTGTGAGGGGATTGGGGGTTCCTGGGTGGGTGGGGGATGGGGTAAGTGGACAACATATGAAATGTAAATAAAACATCCAATAAAAAAATTTAAAAAAAAAATAAAAATAAAAGTAAACACAAATTAACATGTATTTACATGATCTACAAATCAATTATTGATGTAAGTTATATTATATCTAAAAGTGTTACATTTTAAATACACATGTTCAACATCAAACACAAGTTTTTCCAACACATTTAAGGAAATAAACAGACAGTCCTGTCAACTTTTCTCTGTTGCATTTGCTCATTTTCTCCGTCTAGGAAGGCCAACCACCTTAGCTGAGACCATGGGCAAAGCAGAAATGTGGCTCATTCGGTCCTACTGGGATTTGGAGTTTCCTCACCCAACCTTACCAAATATTGAATATGTTGGAGGACTCCATTTGAAACCTGCTAAACCTTTACCTAAGGTAAATACATTCTTTTTACATTTATTTCATTTCATTTCATTCCTGTAGAAAGTGATTCTACATCTGTCATTACCTTTTTCTCCCAATGATAGAGATGCATGGGAAGTGGAATTAAGAATCCTGATAAGTAGGAGCTCAATGAACTCAGGAAAGAACATAATAGACTTGGAAAATATTCATATAAATGCATTAAATTAAGTCATGTAGGGTACTAGAGTGATTTGCCATTGGATAAAGTCCTTACCAAGCAACCATGACAATGTGAGTTTGAATTCCAAAGCCCACATAAAAGCTGAGTGTTTTGACATAGCATGTATTACTATAGTACTGAGTTGCAGAAACAGGTTAATACTGGGGATACTAATCTGTTAAAATGGTGAGATTCTTGTTCAGTCAGTGGGAGACAGTCTCAAAAATAATATGTTAAAGTTAATAGAGTAGAACACCTGATATTATCATGGACTTCATTACCTAAAACAAAGGCAGGGAATTTGGAGAAATTAATAAAGTACTCTCATTTATACACAATATCAGAAAATTATTACATAGTATGTGTTTACCACAAAGTTTTGACTATTTTATAAAGAAACAAAACATTTTATTTACTACAGGGGGGAAAATGCATTAACTATCACATATGTACATACCACACCATAAATATTATTTCAATAGACACTAGCTTATAACATAAAATCAGCTATAATAGGAGAAACCTAAGCAGCAAGGCAAAATTTATGCAATCTATGGAATGAAAAATGTAATGCAGCAAGAATTTTACAAATATTTCAATATTAAACTTGCATTCCTTAGCTTTCATTTTGCCAGAGGAAAGTACTAAGAATGTTTTTTGAACATGTGTGAGTGCACTTCATACCACTGACAGTGTTCAACTGTGCCAGTTCTGCCTTCTGTATGTTTTAACACCACCATTCTAAAAATTCCTAAGAATACTTCAATTTTTATTCTCCTAGGTTTTTTGTAAAAGTTTCATGAGTGATTTGTCTACAATTGCTATTATGTGATTGAACAAGTTATTTATTCACAGGATATGGAAGAATTTGTCCAGAGCTCGGGAGACCAGGGTGTGGTGGTGTTTTCTCTTGGGTCAATGGTCAGTAACATGACAGAAGATAAGGCCAATGCAATTGCATGGGCTCTTGCCCAGATTCCACAAAAGGTGAGGTAAAGTGCCCATGGGAAGCAACTGTTTATTGAGTCTATAAAAGTCCTTGTAAGGTCTGATTCTAGAAAAAACTATGAGAAATCTAAAGGTTTAGGTAAGATCTAATTTACCTTAGCCAAATTACAAACAGAAACACACAAGTGATGTTACAAGATTACAGAAGGTATTTTTGGCTCTGAGTACCTTGGATATCAATGTTGTGGTCTCTGGGTACATTCGAAAATGCTGTCATTATGATGATACCACTGTCAAGGATGTAGACATGTAGCAAATTCTTCTTGATTCTTATGAAAAAGATAATAGCTGGATAGATTTTAAATTCAAGTGAATCTAGCCAACATGTACAACGCATGTAAAACCAAAAAACAAACCAAATCTAAATCAACCATTCTGTAGTGGAAATCCTCACATGTAGAATATTTGGAGAAGAAAAATGGCTCCTTAGGTTTTGGGTTTTTTTGTTGTTGCTTTTATTTTTGTTTTTTGATGATAAAAACACACAGTCAGTACTGCACAGGTCAATTTAATACAATGGGCTTTCACAATACCATGGCAGTTTATAGGTATGTTTAATATAAACCCTTCTGGAGCAGCTTTCCAAACCCTATGACTTGACACAATCTCACACTGCAGCTCAAGCTAGTGGCTTCATCAGCAAGAAATCCCCCTGTCCAAGCTTCTGTGGTAGTAGGACAGATAGTTTTTAAGGACCAAAGTAGGGTGGATATGGAAGGGAGTGATATAGCAAAGATTGAGGTATGGAGGGATGAATAAAAAAAAATCTGATATGAAACTCTTAAAGAAATGTAAAAAAAGATGTCAATCTAACTATGTGGTCATAGTTGTCATTTGGAGATGAGGAGTAAGTCCAGTGTGCAGATGATGCCAATATGTTCTGAACCATTGGTCCACTGCAATTGGTCCATAAAGGATGTGTTCTTCTTGGGTTAAGTTGGTACACCAAGTTCAATATCTGTGTTTAAATCCTATCCTGTCACTACTCCAGAGGAAGTGGGAGGCTAAAGCCATATGCAATAGTCAACTTTATTCAAAGAATCAAAACCTTACACTCTGAGGGTTAAGAAAGGTTTTATGAGTACATAACGCATGAGTTCCAGCTGTGTACAATCACAAAAATGAGCTGTGTACAATCACAAAAATGAGCTGTGTATGACAAAAACATTCTTTCCTAATGAGAAACACAAAGGACACTTTAATCTGGACAATAGCAAGTAGAAGTGGTCAACCTGAAGTAGACCCACTTCTATTTTCTAGAGCTGAGAAGGGGGTCAAATTACAATCCAAAATAATCTCTGAGTTTGAAGAAACTGAGTTTAAAAACCCGTGTCCTGTTTTCTTGGAGTGTCTTCACAAGCTGTCAATAATCTCCTCCAGTCTTGGACCATTTTCACACATATCCTCCTTTTAATGTTTTTTAAACACAGAATATACAAAGTGATTTTGATTTAATATGCATTCAGATTTACCCATCTTTGGATGTGTGAGTATACACAGGTTCACAGGTGAAAACGGATGGTATCACCAGAAAGAGATTTTCAGTTGACAAATGGCAACTGTTAACTTCTTCCTTGGTGCATAGGGTCTTTAATTGGTCCAAAGTACACAGACTTTACTTCTGATGGTATAGTCAATAAATTCTTGTTTACCTTTTAGCTGGAGGGTTGCTATCTTCATGATGATGGCTACAATCTTCTCACCCTCCACCTTTCTCCTCCATAACTCAGGACTATAGGAACCTAAGAGGTGTTCAAAATTTTTTATTGGAAACATCTGCAATGCTAGTTGCATATCCTTAGCCCAATTGCTTGAGCCAACTGAGTTTCCAAGGTTCAAATTGTTGAAATCACACAGGCCTGTTTAAAGGCAGTTCGGAATGTTCTGTAGAGAAATAGTTTTGAATTTCTGAACATGTATCCCTTTCAGATAATTTTTAAAATAAGAATCAATAAGGTAAGTGCAAAGAAAATTGGGTGACCCTTGGTGTCACCCAATATTTTTTAAACTAGTTGTTATTTTAACATTCTATACTTTCTTTCAATTATGCCTTGACTATTATGATTATAAAGAAGTCTAACAGTATAATTAATATTTGCATCATCATTTGCAGAAGTTTTCATTTTTATCTCTACTACAGGCTGGTCCATAGTCATTTTTATTGAAGTAGGCCCTCTGATTCCATTAAAAGTGTGGAGAAGAAAAGAGTACATTGCAAAAGCATTCTCTGAGTATAGAAGAAGAACCCAAAAACTTTAGAGTACATAAAAATGCATACATGCAGGTTCAGTATCAAAGGGAGAAGAGCATAGTAAGTTATATCTACTATCCACAGTTCACTAATTTTTTTTTACCTCTTGCATTAACTCTAGCTTTAAGAATATGATATTATAAGGGAGAACATGTAGGGCATTCTAGTACAATCTGTCTCACTTGTCTAAGTGGGATGTGATATTGTACAAGAACTCCAGCACCATTGTTGTGTAGGTGGTGGTGTTGCTGCTGTGGGAAAGTAGGAATATCGCTGCTTAATGCATCAGCTTGCTTCTTTTGTTTTGTAATAGAACCAGGGAGCTTAGTGTGCACATGTATGAGTAATAAACACAGGATGAGTGCTGGTTTGAACAGTTGTTGTAGATCCTGTAGTAATGGGAGCATGGCAGGCTGTGAGGATGAAATTAAAACTTCCCTATCCTACTGTAAGAATCTGTTTGAAACTTGAAAACTCTATAGACTCCTGTAACTCTCTTTAAAACTGATTGTTAGTTAGGTGTAAGATAATACAGAAAGGAATATGTCCATATAATTGGTAACATTAGAGCCTCCCCAGATGTATTAACTGAGCAAGAAGAGAAAGGTGAGTAGTTAGTATTTTATGGCCCTTATGGTGTAAATGGGTCCATTCCATGGTTTATTTTCTTAGCTTTAATATGTATAGGAGACAACTTAGTGACGAAAATAAGTGTAAAGGCAGCGAAGGATCCACATTATAAACAAATGCATTGTTTACTTCAGATTTAAATGGCTGTAATACTTTTGTCTCTCAAGATGAAATCAAGGATTATTCAATGTCATCTCTCCTTTCAGAGTTCTAAATAGATTTATTAATCCAAATTTAGATATTCTCAAAATAGTGTGTATGCAATTAGCATTCTCTAATAATTTTGAATTTTTTGAGTGTTTTTATTTATTTTTTATTAGTTATTTTATTTATTTATATTTCAAATGTTATCCCCCTTCCTGTTTTCCCTTCTGCAATCCCCTTATGCCATCTCCCATCCCCAAACTTCTTTTTATTATTATTAATCACTCCATTTGTTTACATCTCAAATGATTTCCCACTTCCAGGTTACCTGTCCACAAGACGGCATGTCACAGCTTCCCTCTTCCCCTTCCTCTTGTCTCTATTAGAGTGCTCCTCCACTCACACACCCTCTCCACCACACCTCTCCAGAATCCCCCTATGCTAAGGCAATAAGCCTCCACAGGACCAAGGTCCTCCCCTCCCATTTCTGTTAGACAAGGCCATCTTCTGCTACACATGTATCTGGATCCATGAAACCCTCTCTGTACACTGGTTGGCTGGTGGTCTAGTTTGTGGGAGCACAGAGTGTTTCAAGAGAAGGTTGTTCTTCCTGTGGGGTTGCAATTTCCATCATCTCCAGTCCTTCTGCCAGCTCCCCCACCAGGGTCCATGAACTCAATCTGATAGTTGGCTCCTAGCATCCACATCTGCACCCACCCTCCCTCCCACTGACCCACTTCTGCCTCACCGCCCTGGCATTTTCCTACACTGAGACATTGAGCTTTCACAGGATCAAGGTTCTCCCTCCCACTGATGCCAGCTGGAGACCATCTTCCCTATATATGCAGCTGGAGGCATGGGTCCTCCTTTGGTTGGTGGTTTAGTCCTTGGGAGCTCTCTGGGGGGTCTGTTTGGTTGATATTGTTGTTCTTCCTATGAGGTTGCAAACCCCTTCAACTTCTTCAGTCCTTCCCATAACTATTTCATTGGGATCTCTGTGCTTAGTCTTATGGATGGCTGCAAATATCCACATCTGTGTTTGTCAGGTTCTGGCAGAGCCTCTCAGGAAAGCTATATCATGCTGCTGTCAGCAAGCACTTCTTGGCATCAGCAATGATGTCTGGGTCTGGTGTCTGCATATGGGCTGGATCCCCGGGTTGGGCAATCTCTGGATGGCCTTTACTTCAGATTCCGCTCTACTCTTAGTGTTGAGTGTTTTTCAATTTTGTTTTCCATGGGTACTAACAGGATCTAACTCCTAGTTGCTTCAGATATTACACAGTATCTAATCTTTGTACATTTTCAGGAATAATAGTCAGACCATATTTATGTAGCACATCATGAGTCATGTCAGATACAGATTATAGCTCTTTCAGTTTGGAGGTGACTTACAGGAGATAGTTTAGAGAATCAATACTATAAGCCTGTAGGAAGACCTGCCTCACAATCTCTAAAACCTTTCTAGCATGGATTTGTTACATAATAGTGGATTTTTGCCATGCCTTGAGGTAGTACAGCCCATTGATATCAAAGCTGTGGTTCTTTAGGATTGAGTAAAGAAACAGAAAAGGCTAAAGATACCTTATTATCAAGATGAATAGGTATAGTATAAAAGCATTTTTTCAAATCCATAACAATTGAAGACCAATCAGGCTATAAAGCTAAAATTGACAACATGGTGGCATTAACATTTCAGAAGTCAACCAACCATTTCCATTTACCATTTTTTTAAATTACAAAAACACATCCTCACACTTCCGCTAGATTCCCTATTTCATCCCCCCTCCTCTTGCTTCTATGAGAGTGTGCTCCCTCCCACCCACTCACTCCTGCCTCCTCACCCTCAAATTCTGCCACTCTTGGAGTGTTCTCAATGCACTCAGAATTCTACTCACATGACTCCATGCCTGGACAATTCCAACACTACAGTATTCAAGGGTTCTTCCAGATGGGTCAGATGATTCCAAATTCCTATTGGCCAACACATTAGCCATTAGTTCCAAGTACTCCATGGCAAAGATAATTCTGGATGGGAAATAATTAAGAATACACAATCAAAGACAAAAAACTTAAATTCACTGAAAATAAATAGAAAAACTGAACATAACCTCTTAAGTATTTAAAATGTATTTTATTACAGTATTGAAACTGGAATATTAGAGCTATCAAAATGATTTATAGAAAATAAATTAGTAGTAATTTGCCAATATTCTTTGTAGTTGAATTACATCACCATGGCATTGTATTAATATTTTCATGTATTGCTAACTGTCTCATTTGTCTACATATCTCTTCATTGAAAATGATGATTGTGTTCAAAGTATCTGAGTGTAAAACACAAAATCTCCTGCACCATCCTCTCTCAGTCTTTTAAGACTTCTCATTGCTCACCTCTTCTGACTTCCTCATTTATCCTGTGGACAATCTTCAGATAAGTTTTCTTTATGCGAAAAAAGGGGTACATTTTAAATTATTTCTCTTTTGGAAATTATAATGACATGATTTGTCCCTTTTCATTCCTCCCTCCAAACACTTGCATACACATGTCCCCTTGGTCTCTTTCAAACTTATGTTCTCTTTTTTTTAATTAATTGTTGTCATATATACATATGTATATGTCTCTACATTTATATTCCTAAATATATTCTGCTCAGTCTTTATAATGTTAAATTTGGCTCCACTAATAAAAATTGTCTAATATTTAACAGGTTCTTTGGAAATTTGATGGCAAAACCCCGGCAACCTTAGGACCCAATACCAAAGTCTACAAGTGGCTCCCTCAGAATGACCTCCTTGGTAAGACTCTGGAAAACAAAGTCAAAATCATGACTAAGACTTTGATTCCTATATGTATCCCTTTGGCTGCAAAATCTTTATATCACACTTGTTTCATGGATTGTTTATTTATGATAACAAGTTCTGCCATGGATTTGGTCTTTTCTTACCACTCACTTTTTTTTTTCATATCTACTATGGACTTCATGTCTTCAACTAGAAATGACTGTTTCATTTTTCAAGTCTCTAGTCACATGCAAATCTATAAAAATAGTCCTCTATAAATTAAGTTTCTTCTAGCTCTGAGACAGAAAGATATTTCAGTGAGGTTATCATTACAACAATCTTCATGAAGAAAATCTCTTTTCAGTTACTCATAGTAAACATTTCTCTTTATATTTTTAAAACTTGCTGGTTAATGTTAAACTGAATTCATCTTATTCTAGGTCATCCAAAAACCAAAGCCTTTGTAACTCATGGTGGAGCCAATGGTGTCTATGAGGCTATCTATCATGGAATCCCTATGATTGGCATTCCTTTGTTTGGAGAACAACATGATAACATTGCCCAGATGGTCGCCAAAGGAGCAGCTGTTACATTGAATATCAGAACATTTTCAAGGTCAGATTTGCTCAACGCACTGGAGGAAGTCTTATACAATCCTTCGTGAGTATAACCTTTTAGAATGTGTATCACTCATTCATTCATTCATTCATTCATTCACTGTCTTCTTACTGAAGGCTAAACAAACATGAATTTTTGTGAAGGTAATGGTAATGATAGGAACAGAGATAAATTAGGGCATGATTCAGTACACACATCTGTTATAGTAAATAATTAAAATCAACCTCTGACTAAAGCAGACTATTTAAGCTGTGGTGGCTCTGTCTAGCTCAGCCACCATGTTTCTCAGCCTGAGGCTTCGTGCATGCTGCAGCTAGAACCAGCCCGCCAGAAACACCAGCCCTGCCACTTACTAGATGCCAGCATGAAAGTTGGTTCTGCCAATCTTCCACACTGTCTTCGCAAGGCAGGGCATTGCCCAGACCATTCTGCCATACATGTGGGCTCAGTAAGAGAATGAGACTCTAATTCTTATAGATTAGTCAAAGGCTTTATATGTTTGATAATGGTTAATAAGATGCCCATACAATGAGATTTGTATCCCAATTAGCTAACCTAATTATAAGTCTATAAGTTGTTCCCCATGAGTGCTCTCCATACCTGTGTGGTTCTCCATCCTCCTACATCTCTGCCCTCTCTAGCTCCTCCTCTTCCTTTTTTCTCTTCCTTTCCCAACTCCTCCTCTTCCTCTCCTTACTCCTCCCACCTTAGCTCCTCCTACACACATCATTCTCTCCTTTACTTTTTGCCTTCTAATTCCTTATGCTTTATGCTTTATGTTTTTATCATATGTAAACCAGGATGGCCCTAAATATGTAACCCCTTCTGCTTCATCCTCCACACTGCTTGGCCAAGAAAGATTTTGACAGCCCTGGCCAACACTTCAAACGAAGGCTTTCATATCTGGGGTGGGGCTTTTTGGTAGGATGTCCTTGGCTATTGGAGGGAGGACCATAAGTCCAGATGAGAAAAGTTCACTAAAACTGTATATGTATATTTATGCATGGAGTTGGATATAAAGCATAAATAATTAATAGTATAATTCTTTCTGTTTTTTTTTTCAGACATTCTTCTTGTTATTTTCTCCATTTCCCTCCTCTTCTTGTTCCCCTTGCCCTTACCCTCTTCCCATTTCTCTTATCAGATCCCTTGAATTCTGCCATCTCCCTTCACACTCTTCACACTCTTCGCACCTTCATCTGTATTAACCACCCCCATCTCTAAGGAGCATCTACTCTTCCTATTCCTTCATCAGATCAGTTGAATCCTAAACTCCAAATAACAGTAATATCTATACTAATAAATGACGATGTTCTCATGAGAAAAAAATACACAGTATACAATTTTGCTGTTGTGCTTGTAAACAGTAGAAGGGTGAGTTACCACCATTGTAATTCCTACCTGTTGTGCCATATCAAACTTATATTTATAGGGCTGGTGAAACATGTTTCTAAGTTACCCTTCTCCTTTTTATTATCATCAATAATCTTTTTAACAATAGAATCAAATGCACTTACATGTGTCTCTGTGAAATTTGGATCATTTTTCTAAGATTGAAATGTTAACCAAAAAAGTCAAGATCAACAATAATATTGAAAATTAGGCTCAAATGATGGCTCAATAGGTAAGAGCAGGATTTTTTTGGTAGCATTCTCTATTAATTGATAGCCATTTTATCTCTTACAGCTATAAAAAGAATGCTATGTGGCTGTCAACCATTCACCATGACCAACCTATGAAGCCTTTGGACAGGGCTGTTTTCTGGATTGAATTTGTCATGCGCCACAAAAGTGCCAAGCACCTAAGACCACTTGGACATAACCTTACCTGGTACCAGTACCACTCTCTGGATGTGATTGGATTCCTTCTTGCCTGTGTGGCAGCTATTGCTGCCATTGCTGTGAAGTGCCTCCTGTTCATTTACCGATTCTTCATAAAGAAAGAAACGAAAATGAAGAATGAATAGAGCTCATTAACAATTCACTACATGAACAAACTTTCAGCCTCATTCTAATTTATGAACCACTTTCTAAACACTGATTTTTTTTATCAAGTCAGATAGTCTTTGTAAATTTTTATCATGTAAGAAGACAGATAAGACTATGAATACTGAAATGTTATCAAAAATCCCATTTTTTTAAATTTTCAAACTATTTAATGCAAAAATATTATAGAAAAATGTGGAAAATAAAGATGTACTTGATAGAGTCTTAAAAATCAAAGTATTAACCTTACAATATTTCAATATTTCCATTTGCCTCTTTCACCAAGACTGAATCTGTAGTTTTCATAGAACTCCACAATCAAAAAAATAGCTAACTTACACATTACAAATACTGACATATAAATATGTTTTTCCTGTAATAGTCTTAATTGATTGTAGTCTCAGATAAAGTGTGGTATGTTTTGGATATCAGTTTTAAAGGGTACGAATCTGTAGGCTATTTTGTTCCTGTAGTAAAATGTGATGACCAAACACAAGGGAACACAAGCAGCTCAAAGGAAAACCAGAACAGTTTAGTTTGAATTCTCTATACAGATCCTTAGGATGCATGAGAGCTGGGAAGGCAGGGTATGAGGCAGCCAGAGGAGGAAGCTTACTCATCACATCTCAACCACATATAGAAAGCATAGAGAGTGAGCAGAAAGTGGAGCTAAGTTATAAACTTTCAAAGCTTGCTCCAGTGATATACTTCCTCCAAAGATTTAACTCATTTAATTAAGATTACATAGCCTCAAACAACATTACCAATTTAGGAAAAACTGCTCAAATTCATCAGCCCTTCTGAAATATTTTATATTCAAACCACAACAGGAAATAACCCTGTTTCTTCATTCTTATCTTTTAGCATACCTTACGTTGTTACCATTCTAATATTTAAAGTTCTAACACAGCACTATAGAAAACTTGTACTTCTTCAGTATAATTTAACTGTGATCATGAGGTATAATGTTCATTGGAAATGAAGTATATGAACAGGAAACAAATAGAAGTCCTAACTAAAGTAAGCATTATACTGTTTTCCACAAACTATCATAACCTTTTAGGACTCACAAAAATTATTAATTCTGAAAAAATAAATCAAAAGGAGAAAACCTAGATCATCTTCCACACATAGAATTCAAAAGGATAATTGTGAACATACTCAAAGTATACAAAATTTAAAAAATATTAATCACTTTAGTCAACTAGAAGAATGCAGAAATAAACTGACCGAAGTTAAAGAAAACATAAACCAAGAGGTTCAACTAATAAGATAATTGGGGACATTAAAACAGTATTCAATGAAGAGGTTGAAATACTGAAGAAAATGAAAACTGAAATTAACTGGTAATAAAACCTCAATTGGAGGCTGGACAGTGGTGGCGCATGCCTTTAATCCCAGCACTTGGGAGGCAGAGACAGGCAGATTTCTGAGTTTGAGGCCAGCCTGGTCTCCCGAGTGAGTTCCAGGACAGCCAAAAAAAAAATAAAACTCAACTAGTAAAATTATAAATGTAATAGAAACCTTCGACAAGAGAATGAATGAAGTGGTAGACAGAACATCAGGAATTCAAGAAAGAGGAGAATAACTGAACCCTTCAATCAAAGATGACTATACATTTAAAAAATACATGAATATTGCAACAGAAAAAAATGAGTTTAATGTCAATGGCACCAAAATATCCATGATGAAGCCATATAAAAAACTGATATTATAGAGGAACAAAAATCTCATCCAGGTAGAAGTCATTGGAAGAATGAGTAAAAAGGACCAGCAAAGTCAATAACGATACACAATAGCATATTAATTAAAATTAAAGCACTAAAAACAAAAGTGAAAAAGAAATATTGGAAGCTGCAATAAAAAAGTTTAAAGTCACATATGTCATTTCAGTCCCGTTTGGTCTCCCTTCTTCCCTGGACCTTGGACCTGGTCTACGTGGACAAAGGGAGCAGAGTCAATCAACAGGATTTCAGACAGTCCATGATTACAAATAGTATTAATGACATAATGGAACCAGCTTCAGGAAGGCATATCAACTTTACTTGGAGTAATTTAAGGGCTGTATAGTTTTGGGCTAAAGGAATAGGAATATCCAGGGTAGGTAAAGGTCATTGGCTTAAAGTACTCAGGTACTTCACTACCATGGGGAAGCATTTCAGGAATCACACATGCTAGCTGAACAGGTTCTTTTTAATAAAAATGTATTTCATTGTTTGATTTGTTATTTTATTTATTTACATTTCAAATGTTTCCCCCATTCCTGGTTCACCTCTGCAACCCCCATCCCATTCCCCTCCCCCTGCTTATTTGAGGGTGCTCCCCAACCTACCTACTTATTCACCCACTCCCACCTCACCATCCTAACATTCCTCCACACTAGGGCATCAAGCCTCCAGAGGACCAAGGGCCTACCCTCCCTTTGATGCCAGACCACATGAAGATCAAGAAGGAAAACCAAAATGTGGGTGCTTCAGTCCCACTTAGAAGGGAGAACAAAATAATCACAGGAGGTAGAGGGAGGAAGTATCTGGGAGGGATAGTAGAGGGAGAGGGGAAAGGGAGGGTAGGATCAGATGTGGGAGGAGACTGGGGAGAAGTTCAGAGGACCAGATAATTGAAAGGAGATGTATAGCAGTGGAAGATAGGGAACTTATGGTAGCCACTAGAAAAGTCCTAGATACCCGGAAAGCAATAGCTTTCCTGGACCCTAAGGGTATGACATTAGCTGAAATACCCAACAAAGGGGAAAGAGAACTGCTAGAGACAATATCCAGTGCTTAGGCATGTCCCCTGGTTGAGAGGTAGGTCCATTGATCCATCTCAAAAAATTTATCCCGGAATTGTTCCTGTCTAAAGGAAGTACAAGACAATAAAGGGAGCAGAGACTGAAGGAAAGACCCTCCAGAGACTGAGGTGGTTCTTTTGCTTTTTTTTTTCTCAAGGCTTATATTGATTGATTGATTGATTGATTGATTTTAATTTTTATTGGATATTTTATTTATTTATTTATAATACAGATGTCATCCCATTTCCCCTCCTTAGAACCCCCTATCCCATCCCCCCTCCTCCTTTTTGCTTTTTTTACTATTTAAGTTACATGAATACATTAAGGTCAGTTCTAATTCTAGGTTGAGGGACTAGCAATATAATAGATGCAAGTAGTCAAGGAACAAGCAAGACAATAAACAAATAATCAAAGAAAAACAAAGGTATTAAACCCAATTACGTGAACACTCCCATGGTAACTGTTTCTAATTGTGGGGTGGTGGGCTGTGAGAGGCAGTAGGGTACCCAGTTGGGTCTGCTTCTATTCCCAGAGACCCTATAGGAACAGTAGGAGTTTGGTGGTACTCCTGAGGCTCCAGGTTCCTCTCACTTAGCTTTAGCCTTCCACAGCCCCTACCACAGAGGGATCTATGGCCATCAGTCATGTAGGAACAGTGCCTCAGGCTCTCCCACATGTAGATGAGCTCCAAGATCTGAGACCAAGCCAATAGGAGTCACCTGCTGCCAGGCCTGACCCATACCAAAACTGGTTATAAGAATCCTATTCAGGGACAGGAAGTTCTGCCATTCCAGCATTCTCCATGTATTTCAGCTACCTTGTGGTCAGGAAGTTGTGGTGGGAGCCTAGTGCAGTGTGAGTATTTGAGGTACCTGTAAACTTTCTCAAGCTACAATTATCATGCCAACCTCCTAGGACATTCAGCAGGTGGTCCTATCACCTTCCAGGTCTCTATATTCTCAGCAAAATCTGCATAACTGTAAATCAAAACAGAAAACCCTGGATAGTAAAGGCCAAGGAGACTCTAACAAAGGATCCAGAACCTAGGAGAAGAACAACAAAAGAATGAGTGTGTCTCTAGGAAACACTCCACAGAATCTGTTAACCTTTAAGGGCATGGCTTTGGAATTCTCATTGGAAAAATGGTAATGCCTCAATTTTTGCTCAGAGAGCACTTTACATGGATGTGATGCTAGAGAATTACAACAATTTATTGTTTGTGGGGTTCACTGTTAAGCATGACCACTTCAGCTGAGGAATAGAACGAAGAACCCTGGAAGATGCAGTGAAAGGAGTACCAGGTTAGAGAATCTCTGGCATAGAAGATACCGTAGAAGACACTGACACGACAGCACAAAAGAAAAAGCTCCTAAATAAAAACATTCAGGACACAGTGAAAAGACCGAACCTAAGAATAATAGGTATAGACGAGAGTGAAGGTTCCCAACTCAAACTACCAGCAAACATCTTCAACAAAATTGTAGAAGAAAATTTCCCTGAAAGTAAATCTCCTGACTCTAAGTGCTTCCATAAAGAAATTGGAGAGAGCATACACTAGCAGCTTGACAGCACATTTGAAAGCTCTAGAACAAAAAGAAGCAAATACACCTAAGAGGAGTAGACAGAAGGAAATAATCACTCAGGGCTGAAATCATCCAAGTAGAAACAAAGAGAAATATACAAAGAATCAACCAAACCAGGAGCTGGTTCTTTGAGGAAATCAACAAGATCAATAAACCCACAGCCAGACTAACCAGAGGACACAAGACAGTTTCCAAATTAACAAAATCAGCAATGAAAAGGGAGACACAGCAACAGAAACTAAAACATTTTTTTAAAAAAAGCATGAAAGTCTACTACAAAACTTAATACTCTATACAACTGGAAGATCTAGATAAATGGATCATTTTCTAGACAGATACCAGGTACTCACATTAAATCAGGATAAGATAAACTATCTAAACAGTCCCATAACCACTAAGGAAATAAAAGCAGTCATTAAAATTCTTCCAATCAAAAAGTTTTCAGGACCAGATGGTTTTAGTGCAGAATTCTATCAAACCTTGAATACTTCAGACAACATTTATTACACATCAAAACAAAGAGTAACTCCATAAACAGTAGGGGTTCCAACACAGCATATGCCCAGGTAAAAACAGCTGTTATGATGTGGTGTGATTATCCAAATATCTTCAATCACATGCATATTGTTCTATGCACCATCTGCACAAATAATATATTTGATTCATTTGATTCATATCTGCCCTCAGCAGTCTTCTTGGTAGGCATCCCAATAAGGCTAGTAACCAGTTCTTAACCACCTAATTTTTCTCACTAATATCTAATGTTTGCCAACTCTGATAGACCAACAATGCATATTCTCATATTCTCATAAACAAATATGACAACACTTTTATTATGTTTGCATTTAAACCAACAACTTATGATTATATGTCACAGAATTTCAATATTGGAATTGCAAAAAAGTTTTCAAGGAATATTTTCACATATTATTTTCTCAAACATAACTATCTACAAAAGTGAAATAAATGAGATACAGAGTTTAAAAAAAAGAATCCTATTCAAGAGAAGTAAAGGTGTACAAGAATCATCCCATTGTCTGAGAGTTTCTGTCGCAAGAGATGAAACACTTGGGAAGAGATCTGCTCTCCTGAAGCACCTTCAGGACCCTTTCTGTGCTTCTTGCTAGCTAGCCAGATTCTCACTGGCTCAGCCCAGACCACCTCAGCACGGAGCAGCAGGCACAGCACCTGGGAGCAACTGGATGGGGACAGCGGAGATGTGGGTAGAGGCAGCAGCAGAGGCAGCAGAGGTGAATCCCCCTCCCTACTCTCACTCAATCCCCTTGGCCTGAACCCCTGCACCCAGCCAGGCCAAAGATCTTCATGGGAAGCCTTCTGGCACTGGGACCCACAGCTGGTCACCATGTGGGGCCCTGACAGTGACATAGCTGCTACAGGAACTGATATCGTGGGAAGGTGAGCCCTCCAAGTCTGGAGACAAACAACCTGTCCTGTTCTGCTGTGCTTTCAGTCAGAGCCATCAGGTGGATTTAGATAAGCCACAGGGGCAACTAAAGCCTTCTGGCCAGAGCTAATCTCTGGTGCTAGCTGAAGGTCCTGCTGGCCTCTATTTAAATCCCAACAACCCACAACGGCATTGGCAAAGACTCTCTATCTAGACTCTGTTTAAAACAAAAAGAAAACCTGGTAACATAGCAGCCATTTAAAAGCCACAGGGTGGTTGCCAGTTTTAAATCTGTGAGATGGTTTAGCATTTTGGACCTCTGTGGAATCCCCTAAAGCCAATAGGCCAAGGGAACAGTGCCATTGGACAAACCATTTCTCCTCTTACCTGTCATGGGCAACTCAACATCGTATAAAAATATCACCCCAGGCCCAAGGAAATATATGCCCTACTAAAATCCCACAGAATAAAAATAGCCAAAAAACAAGCCTCCTTGTTTTGGGAGGAAGTTCTTCAGATAGTGCCATGCATGATCAATGACAATATTTACAGTCCTGACTCATGGAGCTGAGTAGCTTCTCTCATCAAAAACAGAGATTCCCAAGAAGGAAAAACATCCTCTTGTGAATTTTTGTCAATCTTAGCTGTAATTCGGCAATGTATAGGGCCATGTAAAATAGGACAGAGGAGAACAACACAGCTCCTGACCTCCCTCAGTCAAATGAACCCAAAGATCAAGGTCCCAAAAATGATTCTATTTCAGATCTCAAGCCCTTACTCAATTGATAAAGGAAATACAATCCATCTACCCACTCCTCTCCCCTTATGCCTTGGAGGAAATGCTAAACAAACCATCTGCTCCTCCTGCCCCTCCCTCCCTCACCCAAAGGCAAGGCTCCATTAAAATACCAAAGGAGCTCTCACCTGCCTTATTCCACCATCTCCAAGCCACAAAAGTGAGAGATCTTCAAAACTCATAGATAAAACCCTGCCAAACTCCATAGTCCCTTACACCCAACCATCTACCACCCAACAACTTTGCAATTTTCGGGACTCTCATGCAAAAACTAACCCCATCTCCCATGCTACTCAGGAGTCTAATACAGAACTTGAAACCCCAAAGGCTTGAGCAGTCCTGGTTAATATCAACCCCACTCAATCTAAACCACTTAATTGGTACCCACTCCAAGCCTCAGACCTAAAAGAGCACAGGCAAGCAGTGAAGGAAGATGGCATTCACGCACCATAGACAAAATCTCTCCTACAGGGCCATATTGCCAACTTAAACAGCCCCCAAGATTGGAGAGATATTTGCCGTTCTACCCTTCCTGACTCAATGTTTCTAGAGTGGGAAGCCTTATTTTATTACGAATGCTGTCAACATGTCAGGTAAAACCGGGACAGAGGCAACAACACCCTATCGGGTTTTAATGAACTCTTT